ATCAAACGACCCCAGCTAAGTGATTATCTAGCCTCCTTCTGAAGACCCCCCAGGGTAGGAGCGAGCACCACTTCCCTTGGAAATAGTTTCATAGTTGATAGGGTCAGCAGGGACATGAGCAGATCATCAGACTAAGGAAGGGACCTGAGCAGATCATCAGACTAAGAGAAGTCCCCTTGACCGCAGTGGGGTTGAATCGGTGTGTTGTGTTTTTTGTGCTGTATATAGCCGGAAGGAACTGCCGAGACTCAATGAGCTCCAAATAACTCTGCTAACCGGAGTGCTGCCAGCTTCTGTGATTATTTTCAAGTGACAGGATTTTGCTGGAGGCTGGAGAGCCAGTCAAGCAATGATGCCAGAAGTGCCCGCTCACTTGTGAACAACCTCTTCACCCCCTCAGCCTGTGGTGAAGCCTCCTCTGACTGGCACATTTGCCCATTTTCTGGAGGTAGATCAGCCACTCAAGGCTACTGCAGGAAGGTGATTGAGCCTTTGTCCTCCTCCCCTCCTCCCTCCATACTCCTCAGCTGCTCAACACTGTTCCTACAGGAGGGAGAGGAGAAGCAGAAAGGGTCTGGCAGCTCAGAGTGGTTCTGCTCTCTACGCTGTTATGAACAGGACAGATCCTGCTTTCCCCCTCCCTGCAGTACCAGGCTTGGAGAGGCTCCAAGACCCCCTGGACCTTTTTCCCCCTCACTATGAAAGGGGGAGAAGAGGGCTGCATTGCAGCTGCCCACCTGAGGCCTGCGGTGGAGAAGTGAAGAATTTCAGGAGCAGCAGAGGTGAGTTTCTGAGGTCAGAACTGACATAGGAACTGGGGGGACAGGATTGACATGGACATTTGGGGGCAGAATGAACTGTTGGTATGGGGAGGGAGCACTGCATTAGTTAAATCTGGGATCAGTAGCAATGGTAACTATCCCCCATGCCAGTATGGGAAGTGGGAATTCAAAATCAGGAGACCAAAAAGTATAAAATAACTCATGGCTTCGGGGTTTCGATTCACGATTGTTGTTATCCTTCAGGGTTGATAATGCCATTGTATAAACAAAGCTGGACCTTGCATACTGTGTAGACATTACATTACTGCCCTGGAACACAGTGAGAGCCGATAGAAGGCTTACAAAATATTTAAAGACATACTCCTCAATTCCTATGACATACTTTAAGAGAAGACTCAGGCCCACAGGACACCTTTTTCACACTACTTCCTCTTCCACCCCCCCCCCCCCCCCCCCCCCACCTGTCCAGATGAGCAGTTTTTTTTTTTTTTTAACTGCAATAAGAATATTATTCAAATCAGAAATCCATAAAATGCAGACAATAGCTATACCTCAGTCCCGTCATTATCCTTGATATGATACCTCACATACACTGTCACTGAGAAACAAAATTCAGGTCAGAATCAAAACCTAGAAATAACATAAGCCTAAGTAATAGGCAGGAACTACAAAAATCAAGTTCCAACCTGGATTTCACCCTTCCTCCATCCCTGCCCCTAAGCTCAGACCTGGAAGTTTTAGTTTGTCTTTCAACAAGGATGAAGTTGCAAAACCCAGCTCAGGGATCAAATTCCCAAACTTCAGCCACTTCCACATATTGTGGGTATCTAGCTTTAGGTTTTAATTTGGGGTCCAGCTATAGATATACTGAGGAAGAAGAATCAAAATCACAGGCACACCTTCAGGTAGAAGTCACATATGCACATACCACTACTGTCATTATCACAATATTATTAAATACTGCAGCTCATATTTTGACTCTTTCCAAAAAGATAATCCCAGATGATTGTTATGGATGCTGTAATTTAAATCAATTTTATCTGCTCCCAAAAAACTTCCCACTACTACTACCTCCTCATTGCAACTTCCTCGGACTTCCATAATTTATTCATCCTAGGATGCACTTAAACAAATGCTGCAGTGCTATTTGAGTTAAAGCATTAGTTTTAAAATTTTATCAACCACTGTGCAGGTGGCAAATTCTAAAGCTGGGGAGGATAATTACTGTAGGGGAAGGGTGTTGAGCAGGACTCAACCTGACTGAAAGGCCCAAGCTGTCTGGAAGTTGCATTTATCTAAATAGAAGACATGTGAGGGAAGCTCTACGGAACTTAATGACTTCCAGCTGCAAACCAGTTCTTATTCCCTATTGCCCTACTTCTAAATTGAGTTGAATCACTGGTGGGGATGGTCCCAAAATTCCTCTCTGCACCTGGGAACATTGCACTTTTGTGCATACTTAAATGTGAGAAGAAAGGGTCTTATCCATGCTTCCTCTCAGATATTCATAGCTTTGTTGCTGCCAAAGCAACTTTCTTCCAACAAGGTGAATTCCTGTCAGGGCTGTATGCATGCCAAATCTGCAGTGTGAAGAGAGCCAGCAATGAAAACTGGTGGGGAGGAAGGATCTATCTACAGATAAAAGCTGCTTTTTGTTCATAGGTGTAAAAATGGGGGGAAACAGATCTTTTTTAATTAAATTCTACCAAATAATTTAATTTTGGGAATAAGATTAAGCTTAAGAAATCCAGTTCCTAGAAGTAATATTTGGATAAGCATTGAAAAGGGAGGCTCAGATTTTATGGTAACACACAAAGTTACCATATCGCCATGATGACCCGCTATGTTAAAGAGAAGTTTATCTCAAGGGTAACTAATAACTAGACCTGTGTGAAGCAGGTATTATTTGCTTAGGATTCAGATTCGGCCAATTCAGAGGGACACTGGAGGCAGCTGTGTCCAGCGTGATTGAGGACTCCTGCCTTTTTAGTCTATGGCCGAACCTCTGAATCGGTGCCAAATCTCTGGATCTGAATCGGCCAAATCGAATTGGGAAAGTGATTTGAATGACCAAGCTTTAGTTCAAGTGCCCCTGCTGTCATTTGGAAGCATGGGGATGCTGATACACAAGACACTGAGGCACTTTAATTAGAACAGCTCTCTGAAGCATGGGGATGCTGATACAAGAGACACTGAGGAACTTTAATTAGAACAGCTCTCAGAGCTGCCCTAATTAAAATGCCATCCCTCCCCCCCGCCCACCCTGGAGTATGTGTAAAAGTGCCGAGAGGTACTAGATTTAATGTGCATTACCTAAAGCACATTAATGAATGTATAGACATGGCCAGAGAGGGAAGATCTGGGAGGATCGAGTTAAAGTGAACCTACTCCGACAAACCCCAGCTCTATGCTGTACCATGGGGCATAATGTCTTTGAAAAATCACCTCTCCTCCCTCAAAAGAGAAGAGGCAGGGATTGGACTAGGATTAAATTGAAGGATTAGACCAGGAGAGACAGCCCTCTCTGGCTTTCCTAATAGTGGAATTGAGAGGGTAGAATGGAAACTAGGTTAAGTGATGAGTCCATTTCTATTCCTTCACTATGTGTGCACAGTGCCCTATGAAGTCACTCTGCTGGAAGGAAAGTAGCCACCCCATCAATGCAGCATAGCACAGAGCAACCAGCATAAGTAGATGCTAATTCGTATTAAGAATATTTGTGCTGGGGATGGATAGAATAAATGTGTCAAGGAAATTGGGTGCGCTGCTCTCATATAATAACTTAACAAAAGTCCATATAATAACATAGCGTAGCCCTTTGAAATCTTGCCCAAAAGGGGGGCAAAAGCACAGTCCCTCTTTCACTCACCTGCCATGACTTGATTACAATGAAAAGACTGAAAACAAAGAAGGCTCCAAAATTATGTATTCTCCCACCCTTCAATCAAAGGTTCTTTACAGGCGCATTCCTTGAGGCTCCACCTCCCCAACACCTCTTCCATATGCCAACCTTGTTGTTAAATCAGTGATGTCCTCCTGCTTTGAGACCTAAATGGTAACTTCCTTTCTTGAGCGTATACCCTTTTTTCCTTACTGCTTCTTTAAGGGCACTGAGTGTGGGTGAGTATGTTACTGGGAATGTCCTACAGTACTCTTTCACTCGTGACTCAGAATAGTTCTCTACTCATAAATAATAAGCGTGGTCATAGTCCTGACTTGTCCCTGTCTTAAGTATATAAATGAACTTGCATCAGTAACAAAAGCAAGAAAATATTTCTGTCACCTCGCAGTGCCCTATGTTTGGCACCCTGCGAGGATCCACTCGTGACCAGTCCAACGGCTGTTTCCCGATTCACAGTTCCACCGTCACCCAAGAGAAAGAACTTCTCGGCTAACTCCCTTAAGGATAAAGACTCCTTCTTTGACGAGTCCCTCTTGTGGGCAAATTCCAGAGCCTCTCTTCCTTGGCTCACTAGAGCTCAGTTTTCCCTCCAGCTTTTCTACCCAGCTCAGTAGCACAGGCTTGGGGCTGGATCAGAGTACAGGGGCTCTCCTGGCTGCTGCTGTCCTGCTTTTACTCCCAGCAGTCTCCTGCCTCTTCGAACGCCCGGCCCTCCTCCGTCTCTGGGCTCTGCCTACATACGTCACTCCCTACACATCCTCCAATATGCAGGAAGTAAGAGCTTTAAAATCAGCATGGTGACCAGCATGGGCCACTCCAGAAATTCTGCTCTGGACCCTACAGGTGAGATAAGTTCATCAGTAGCCTTTCCTGGGCTCCTTTTCCAACAGGTTTGCAGGCAATTCAGGTGGAGCCCACCACGTTTACCCGCTAGACGTGTCGTTAGTTGCCCAGCCTGGTGACACCCCCTCCAAGTTACTTTGGAGTGCTGTCAATACCACCTCCTGCTTACTACTTGATGGTGTTTCCCCTTTGAGGACTTGACATCCTTTTGCCTTTTCATCATGCTCACTCCCGTATCTGGATAAAAAGTCAGCAACTGTATTGACCTTTCCTGGTCTGTGCATAATGGAGAACTTAATGCCTGCAGCACCAGTGACCACTGGGTAGTTTGGCCATTATCAGTTTTTGTTTGACTGAGCCACCGTAAGGATGCATGGTCAGTGATGAGATGGAATTCACATCCTATCAGGTAATATCAGAAGTAACTCACTGCCCACTTAACAGCTAAGCACTCTTTATCGATAGTCGCATACCTTGTTTCAGCAGGTAGGAGCTTCCGACTTGCATATGCAACGGGCCTTTCGAGGTCATCCCATTGTTGTGTTGTGTTGTGTTCACCCCATTGAAACATTAGAGGTGCCAGTCTGTAAAATAAAGGTTTTGTTATAATCTGGAGTATAGATCATTACATCCTGACAAAGAGCAAATTTAATCTTGTCGAAACTGTCCATTATCTCTGGGGTCCATATTATGCATCCACTGCCGCGCCCCTTTAGTACATCAGACAAAGGTGAGGCTATTTCAGCAAAATAGGGCACAAATCGACTGTAATAATTTGCTAGGCCCAGAAATGATCGTATTTGTTTCCTGTTTTGAGGTGGTTGACACTCTTTTGATGACTTTTACTTTGTCTGCCAGGGGTTTGATTATCCTCTCTCCAACCTGAAACCCCAACTACCTTCCAACTGCCGCCGGTGCTGCCCCAGCCCCGCAGTAGTGGCGGGGACCAGTGAGCGCAGCTCTGACCCCGCATGCCCCACGCCGGCTTTGGGCTTGCCCGCCCAGGCTGAGAAGTGGCAGCACAGGAGAGAAACTGCTGCTAAGTGCAGGGCAAAAGTGGCCCCTCTCCCTTGCCGCTGCCAGCGCTTCCAGGTGTAGCTGCATGGAGCCCATGTGGGGCTGCCCTCCGTCTGCTCTGCACTTGCAACGCTGCCCCACGGGGCAAGCCAGAGGGAGCAGTGATGTAGTGTAGACATAGGGCAGCCCTGCCTGGGCCCTGGGCAGCTACACCTGGAAGTGGCGGCAGTGGCGAGGGGGAGGGCCACTTTTGCCCCGCGTTGAGCAGCAGTTTCTTTCCCACGCTGCCACTGCTGAGCCTGGGCCTCAGCGCCTGCTCCAAGCTAAGCAGCAGTGGTGGCAGCTCCAGAAAGAAATTGTTGCTCAGTGCAGGGGGAAAGCAGCCCTCCCCCTTGCTGGGTAGTTTTTGGTGCAGCTGCCCAGAGCCCACGCTGGGCCAGGCTGCCCTGAAGCTCCATCACCACCACCTCTGGGTTGCCCTGCGCAGTGGCGGTGACACTGCAGAGCAGACACAGGGCAACCCAGAGGCAGTGGTGACAGAGCTGCAGGGCAGCCCGGCATAGCATGGGCTCCAGGCGACTGCACCAAAAACTGCCCTGTGTCAGCAAGGGGGAAGGGCTGCTCTCCCCCCCCGGCCCCCGCTGAGCAACAGTTTCTGCTTGGCTGCTGCTGCCGCTGCTAAGCCCAACAGGCGAGCCTGGAGCCAGTATGGGGTGCACAGGGTCGGGGATGCACTTGCTTGCGACATGATAATAGGAAGGGATTGGCTACACCTATATAAAGTCCAGGACAGAGTTAATAGGGATGTAGGCTGTAGCCGTGTTGGTCTAAGGACATAGGCAAACAAGGTTCTTTGGGTGAATCTGATATCTTTTATTAGACCAACTTAAATAGTTGGAAAAACATTTTTTTAAAGCAAGCTTTCAGGTTTAAAAACCCTTCGTCAGGTTGGGGAAGCTTCAGCAGTTGGTGCGTGCTCTTTCTGAATGGAAGGAAAGTAAAGTCATTATTGGAGTCATTATTGATGCCAAAATGAACATGGGCCGACAGTGTGGGGAAGCGGTCAGGAAGGCCAACCGCCCCTTGTCATGCATCCACAGATGCATCTCGAGCAGGTCCAAGGAGGTGATCCTCCCCCTCTATGCGACGCTGGTCAGGCCGCAGTTGGAGTACTGTGTCCAGTTCTGGGTGCCGCACTTCAGGAGGGATGTGGACAGCATGGAGAGGGTTCAGAGGAGGGCCACCCGCATGATCAGGGGGCAGCAGGGCAGGCCCTACAAGGAGAGGTTAAGGGATCTGAACCTATTCAGCCTCCTCAAGAGAAGGCTGAGAGGGGATCTAGTGGCCGTTTACAAACTAGTCAGAGGGGACCAGCAGGCATTGGGGGAGTCCCTGTTCCCCCAGCAGTACCAGGAGTGACAAGAAATAATGGTCACAAGATGGCAGAGGGTAGATTTAGGCTAGATATCAGGAGGTGCTACTTCACAGTCAGGGCGGCTAGGATCTGGAACAAACTTCCAAGAGAAGTGGTGCTGGCTCCTACCCTGGGGGTCTTTAAGAGGAGGCTGGATGAACACCTCACCGGGGTCGTTTGACCCCAGTACTCTTTCCTGCCATGGCAGGGGGTTGAACTTGATGACCTGCTCAGGTCCCTTCTGACCCTACCAACTATGAAACTATAAAGCAGCCAGAGGGTGGGCTGGTATGCATACAAGATAGGCAGTCAGTGAAGATGTAAATTGAGGAGTCAGTGTGTGAGAGACAGGCTGGGTGAGGGGGAGAGAAGGGGGAGGAATAGTGGAGAAGTACCTGGGGAGTCAGATGTCAGGAAGGTTATAATGTGTCATAAATCCAATGTCTATATTTAGTCCATGATTTTAGTATCCGGGAGGTTGGTGAAGTGGAATTCATAGGCTCATCTCTGGGAAGTGTTTTGTAAGTTTCCTTTGAGGATTAGAACTGAGACACTGGAGAGAGAGTGGCTTTCTTGTGAGAAATGTGCTCCCACAGGTAATTGAGTATTCTTGTCCTTGACGGATTTCTGGTGTGCATTCGTTCTGGTGCGCAGTTGTTGTTTGATCTCTCCTGCGTATTTTCCATTAGGCCATTTGGCGCATTGGATGAGATATATAACATTTCTGGAGGTGCAGCTGTAAGATCTGGGAATGCTGATGGTTCTGTTGTGGAGTGCAGTAATTGTGGGGGTGCTGGAAATGTGTTGGCAGGTTTTGCATTTCTTGTCATGGCGTGGTCTGGATCCACTTGGTGTGTACGGGGACTGAGGAAGTTTGCTTCTGGTGATGAGGTTAGCGCGGTTTGGTGCTTGTTTGAAGGCTAGGATGGGTGGCTCTGGGAAGATCTTTTTAAGAATAGGGTCTCTTTCTAGTATGGGTTGCAATTGTTTGAGGATTTTCCATATGGGTTCAAGGGAGGGGTGATATGTCATAACCAGTGGTGTGCGATTCGTGGGGTTTTTCTTCTGTACTGCAGCAATTCTTCATGTGGTATCTGGGTGGCTCTTTCAAACATGCAATCTATATCTCTGGAGGAGTGTCCTTATTGGGTGAAAGCCATTTTAAGATTGGTGAGGTGGCAATCCAGGGTGTTCTCCTCAGTGCAAATTCGGTGGTATCTGAGGATTATTTAAATAATGTTTGTGCTGTCCTTAGAAGGGTATACCACATAAATACTGTGTGTCAAAGAAGCTGAAGAGGAATACAGGCAGATACAAAATGAAGAGGGTTGGCTGGGAGAGTCAGAGGAGGAGGAGGAGGCAAGCTACATAGAGGATGAGCAGATTGGACTGAAAGATGTTGCTAGTGCAGCCCAATTTAGAGAAGCCCAAGAAGGAGATGAAGAACTAGAGGCAATTTGGGATAAAGTATTGCTGTGAGTAGAGACATCTGATGCACTCAGCGAGCAAGACTATGGTTATGAGGTAAGGAATAACTTGCTGTCCTGGGTACAGGGAGAAACAGAGTCCCAGCACAAAATGCCCCGTTTTAGTGCTACCTAAAATGTTTAGGCATATCATATGGCACTTAGTTCATATTACACCCACGGGAGGATATTTAGGTCACTATAAAACCATTGCTAGAATCACCCGCTGTTTTTTTTGGCCTAAGATACACACAGATGTAGCCCGCATGGGAGCGGTGTGCACAGATTGCCAAAAATCAGGAGAGGTGAAACCTCCATGGGTCCCATTACAGCCTATGCCAGTTATTGATGCACCTTTCCCTCGAGTCGTGCTCAACGTAATGGGGCCACTTCCTAAGAGAAGCATGGGTAATCAATATAATTTAGTATTCGTTGATTACATCACACACTACCCAAAGGCAGTTACCCCTCAGAACGGTCACGGAACCTCACATAGCAGAGGAGCTAATGAAATGGATAGCCCAGGTGGGCATCCCTAGAGAAATTTGGACAGACAAAGGCCAGAACTTTATGTCCGGAGTCCTGAAAGTAGTGTGCCAGACCCTGGGAATTATCCATTTATACACGCCAGTATATCACCCTCAGACAAATGGGTTAGTGGAGAAGCTGAATGGCACACTTAAAAGAATGCTGAGTTGTAGCTCCCAAGCTGACCCAGAGAATGGGACCTTGTGGCAGGGCACTGTTGGTGCCTGCCACTTTAAGAACTGAGCCAAGCAGCCAGCAGGTGCTTGATTGCAGCGGCCATTTTAGATCTTTGGCTGCCCATATAAACAAAGCAGTTCGCTGCTGGCAGGGGAGGCAGTAACATTGCCTGGCTGCAAGGTTCCATGCGACGGCCTGGAGGTAAGGGCAGGAGCTTAAGGGGATGGTTTGGAGGCTCCTGGTCCTGGGCATGACCTAAAACTGCACTCTTTCGGGAGTGGGTGGCCTGGTGGGGCTCTCAGTGGTGCAGGAGCCCCCAGGAAATACCAGGCCAGTTACCACCCTGGTGAAAGGCAGGTCAGGGCACCTTAATAACCCCAGCTCCCACAACTGGATGGGTTACCCACTAGTAGGGTCCAGAAGGCAGACCCAGGAGAGAGAGTGGGGCTATAGACTCAGAAGCCTGACTTGAAATCCCTCGACTGGTCAATGCTGGGGCCAGGACCGGAAGGGTCAAAGGGCCAAGGACCCACCAGGAGGAACGCCCATGAGCTGAGGGCCTGGGGTTCTGACAGGCCTTGGAGGTAAGGCCAGGGCCTGTGTAGCCAAAGGTCCCAGGGGGACCACACCCATAAGGGGGAACAGCTCAGGAAGCTAGGTAGCCCAGAATGAATGTGGAATACACCACCTGAGTGGATGGATCTTGTAGGGATCTGGACAGGAGGATTCTGGGGCCCAGTGTGGGGCTGGTGAGGTTAAGATCCATGGATGCCATCTGTGAGGCTTGGGCTGCGGTGTAGGGGAGGAACAGAGCTGCAGATTGTGCCCCCTGACATTGGGGCAAGAAATGGGCAGCCTCACACCTAATTAACATCCTAATTAAATATCATCAAGGCATGGCAGGAGAGAAGGTGAGCAGTTGGCCCAGAAACAAGTGGGTGGGCCATTGGTAGACTGGTCCCAAGGAGACCCCCCTTACAGA